AAAAAAAAAAAAAAAAAAATGCCTTTAAAAAAAAGAAAAGTGGATGATCTCCAGCAAATGATCACTAAACGCTATATACCGTCTGAATTTCACGAATTTTATAATAGAATTATAGAAATATAAAATAAGCACTTGAATTTATATATAAATTATGCTTTTATGATTTAGTTTAAACCCTAAATGTGCTACTCTTCCACGCAAATAGTGAAATGTGGTACTATTCCACGCGAAAATCTGAAATGTGCTAGTCTTCCACGCAAAAATCTGAAATGTGCTACTCTTCCACGCAAAAATCTGAAATATGCTAGTCTTCCACGCAAAAATCTGAAATGTGCTACTTTTAGACACGAATAATGAAATGTGCTAGTCTTCCACGCTAATAGTGTAATGTGCTAGTCTTCCACGCGAATAGTGAAATGTGCTAGTCTTCCACGCGAATAGTGAAATGTGATACTCTTCGTAGGGACCGACGATATGTAGTGACTGTTTCAATATTGCACTATTTGAGTGTAGCGCGGATTTATTCACTACCACTAAATTTAGTGAAACAAAATACAATTATCACTAAAGCTTTTAGTGGTAGTGCCGGAAAATTTCACTATCACTAAGCTGGTGATAAATAGTGAAAAATATAATTTCTTCCAAAAATTTCTTCAAAATTTAGTGCACTACCCCCAAATATGGTTTGTATTAAAATGAGGGAGTCTCATCCGAGGCGCATTTTTTGTTTCATTGGGCGGGGTTTTAACGTGGCGGGGCCCAAACCCAGCGCACGTGACATTTCATTTCCAAACGGGTGTTTGGTCGCTACCCAGAGGATACGTAGATATAAATACCGGGACGTCGTGAGCTGCGATTTGAACCGTACGCCAAAGAATCTCACCTATGTAGGCACATTTATTTTGTGATATTAGGTGCAATCCCAAATATAAACTTCTCATCCCTGGTTAGTCGTACTTTAGGCCGAATGCTGATTACTGTTATAATAGGAAAATTGTAAGAGAAATTTTTTGAGTGTAAAATAGATACTGGTATATGTTTCGCGCATGGCAAGAAGAAAGTTACTAGGTATAAGTAAGAAAAAAATAGATTTCGCTTTTCAACCTGTCAAATTCTTTTTACACATAAACACCGTCGGATATCGCCTTCGCATTTCATAAAGTTTAATAATTTTAATTTAAAAATCATACCATTGTAGAATATTCTCTAAATGAGAGACAATAATAGTAAATTGGTACGTAAGTTAACGGCGAATAGAAATAAAGTTCCGTTTATTCGAGTATTGAGCGTACTTTCGAAAACTTTGGCAAGCATCGACAGTGTTATGTTATCAGTGTAGGAACGATTTTTATAAAAGTCTTCATTTGTATGTACATAACATACATAATTCTTAACTATTTACATATGTAAAAATGCGTAGGTTTTTGAACTTTTCTTTGAACACTACATGAAAATACTGTATACAAATAGTGCACGATTCCTATTAATCTTTTCCTTAGCAATCAAAACATTGCATAAAATTTGTATATGTATGTGTACATATGAGTTGTATTCAAGTATGCATGTATTCTTCTATTGATTTTTCAACCATGATAGCATTATCAGCTTCCGCATCAAAGCACGAGCTCTTATTGCTTTAATCATATGTTTGAAAATCAAACGAATGTCTTTACGAAAATCTTCTGGTAGCCTTTTTTTAGATATGTACAATATGTACATATGTATATACCCCACAAACATATTCTGAGCGCTCAGAACATATGAGCCCAAAAGGAGTCCTAGAAGGGTAAGAAATATGAGCTTTAAAAACAAAAAATGTGTGACTCTTATATGAATCATTTAGGAGTCATATATGATCCAGCATTTTGTGCCAATATAAAATAATAAAGGTTCGAAATTTATATCTAAACTTGTTTATACACAAATTGAAAATAATTAGAAAACAAAAAATGAACAAAATTTAGCTGCAGCTGTTGCTGTTAAATGCATGTTGGAATGTGTATATGCACGTAAGTATGTATGTATGTTATTTGGAAGAAATTTTTGCTGAATGCCTTTGCAAATATAGTGCGTTCAATAAGACTCAAAGAACAACCTAAAATAAGAGTCCGAATGTAGTAATTTATGAGGCCGATAAGAGCCTCAAAAATAGTCTGAAATGATTCATATATGAGGCCAAAAATTGTTTTAAAAAGAGTCCAAAATGAGCCGTATATGAGGCTAATAAGAGTCCAATATGACTCATATTGAGGCTCATTTGATGTATGATTTTAAGCTCATATATGTCGACCTTCGGAGGAAGGGAAACACCCTCATATCAGCCTCTTAAATGAGCTCGTTATGAGCGTAAAGTCTCCGAAATGGGACTCTTAAAGACTCCTTAAAGGCTCAGTTATGACTCCAAATGTTTGCTGGGTATGTACATATCTATGTATGTATGTATCTTAAACAATTTCAGAAAATTAAGTACATCGACATTTTCAAACTCCAAATACAGTGAAATTCCTCATAATCGGACACTCACCGTCGCAATGCTTTTGTCCGGCTACTTGAGATGTCCGCTTATGGATTTATGTATTACTTGATCAAAATTGTCATTTATTTAATACATATCGACATCTCCAAGTCATACCATGCCAAGTCACCTTGGACATAGTCAGACTTAGGATAGTATGGTTTGGAGGCGTCGACATATTGTACGAATTTATGAAAATTTAATAATGAATATTACATTTCCAAGCAACAATTTTAATATTATATTATCATATCTTTAAAATGCAGCGATTCGTCGGTAGTTACACTATTTTCACCTCACTAATTTCCAACATCCTTGTTGTATCAATATGAAAAGTACTAAAGGCCGGTCCACATAGAACTTTCGTGTTAGCTTTGGCGTTGGCGTTGGTTTGACAGAACGCACGTTAAAAGTATGCTTGCTACAATGAGCGCTTGGCAGCGAATGCTTGGGCCACTACATTAATATACTAACGACAGATAAATTAATATTTCATATCAATAATTGCATTAAAAACGATATTTCTTGCCCGCACTTGATTAAAAAGGAAAATATTTCACATAATTTTATTTATTTGCAACAGCTGACGAGCGACGCACGCGAAAAGATGAGAGTTGGCCATCTTTTTGCTTTGTGTTGGCGTGAGCGTTGTCGAATTTTGGCTATGTGGACGGCTGCATTTGAATTCATGTATTCATAGTCAGCTGTTGAAGCGACGCCAACGCCAACGCAACGCCAAAGTTCTATGTGGACGGGCCTTAATTTGTCAAACTAATTTTATTTTTCATAGCCTACTTTTAATCTTCGCATTTTACGGCTTACTTAGAGTTTATAATTAAACAAGTGTACCACCATTGTTTCACTCAAGCAATAAATTACACTAGTTTACAAATTTTCAGTTTCAAACGAGTACCTCGATAAAAAAGTGCTTTCTAGCACAATTTGGGGTCGCTGAAAACGAAAATGACACTCATTTATTTTTCTCAAGAAGCGTTTTTGCGATTTCCGCAAAAAACGTGTTTTTCGTGTCTTATTTCAGTTTTTCACCGAAATCTCCGAATCACCGAAATGTCCGTTCCCACGACAGTCGGGTCTACGTAACCGGAACGACCCAGATTTATATCTGGCCAAGGACTGTCACTCCAGCAACACTCCCCAAAAAGTCTTTGGGGAATTTGTATGCTGCTACAACAACAACAGGGAGTTGATGTTATGAAGCAATGATATACATGTTTAGAAAGGTACAGGCCTCCTCTTTACAGCAATATGTCGTTATTAGTAATCTAGTGATTATTACTTCCACAGCAGCCGTTCAAAGTTAAAAAAGGTCATTATTTGAGCTTTTTTGGAAATTATTGAAATTTATCGACGTTTTACTATTGATTAAAAAATTTTTTGTCCGATACATGAAATTTTTAGTTCAAAATAATTTTATAACAAACAAGTCAAGCTAAATATTGTCTAAATCGGACGAAAAATGTTGAAGTTATAACGTATTTTGTATAAGGATGCCTATTCAGCTTCTGACATTCAAATTTCCCTTTTTTTACACCTACACAGAAATAAATTATGAAGCAGGGCTGGGGTTGAATCCATATCCACGGAATGTTTTCAAAATGGTAAAAAACACAAAAAAAAGTCTATTTTGTGTTAATTTATATGCTGAATCAAAGTAAACGATGTAGGGGGGAACAGAAATATCTCCAGTCGGTAAAATGCGTTACTGCTTGAGCGACATTGAACTTCCGCTATATTTTCCTGCCCCGTTAGGTAGTTGACAAACGTCATCGGATTTCGTTTCGTACTTTTGTTGGACAGTTGTTCCTTTTGTGTTCCCTCGTATTTTAGAATGACGTTTTTGCTCTAAGGAAAAAGCCCAAAATGTGCAATCACTCAAAGGATAAGTTTTGCTTTATTTGTGGTTTGTACCAGGGTTGTAGCGAATATTCGCATTCGCATTCGCAACCGCGGAGCTTCCGCATTAATTTTAACATTCGCATTCGCTTTCGCATTCGCAATAATCAATGCGGAGCTTTTGCGAATGCGAATATTTTGCAAAGGGACCAATAAAACGTATATATGGCAAAATAAAATTACATATTGTAGCCAATATTTTTCCCTATGTCGTAGGAGTATTTATGTAACAAAACTGGTCAAATGTCATATTTATCAACTTTGATAAAAATGTCTTTAAAATATTATTTCTTAAGCTATATAACCGAGCTATCAATGGGAAGCCATAAAAGTTCCCACTTCTACTTGACCTTTGACGTACGTCAAAGAGAACATAGTCCTTTTAATAATTTTTTTTCTGTGCTTTAAATACCTGCTTTGGCTTCTTTCTTTATTATGATTTTTTTGGACAAATATTAAAAAAAAAACTACTAGACACAAAAGAAGCAAGTGTGCACTGTAATTCTTAACACAATTTTCGTGATTTGCTTTGGATGTTATAGGCGGAATACACGGTGCGTCTGACTCGTGAGTCTGTTTGGATGTGTTTGTGAAAATAAATATGTGTTAGTTACACCAAGATGACTTCCGGCATGACTCTGAATGATTCAACAGTGTGCAGTCGAAGGCGAGTCAACACGTACACAAATGACTCGCGAGTCAGACGTACCGCGTATGCCACCTATTACATATATTCGTTCGAATAATTTCAAATGGGGCTCTTTGGGGAATTTATTTTTAGCAAAAATTTTAAAAACAGTAGTTTTGTTTACTTGTTGGATAATATTTTTTTCATAGGTATATATGTACATTGGATCCTTGGCTAAAAACTTCTATGGTAAAACTGTCCCTTCTTTGCTATTTAAAGTCAATGAGTAAGCTCCTTCAATAGGGATTTCCAGTAGAAATGATCAACGTCTAGCTATAAAGAGATTCGATGCTCAAATAATTAAAAAGTTATAGGTCTGACCTTTAATTAGATAAGAATTACGTAACTATCTGTTATTCAAACGCTTATAAAAAACGGGGAGCTTTAAAAAAAAAAATAACAATATTCTGATCCGAATCGGCTGCCAGCCATGACTTTGAAAACAGAATTTTGTTCAAAAATAATAATCTATTTTCCATATCCGCCTATTTAGCTCGCTATAAGCACACATTTTTCAAAGCAGTCGCAGAAGAAAGTATTAAAAATGAATTACAAAAACTAAAATCGAAAAGTGCTGATAAAGTTACAGGTTCTCCAAATTTTGAAACAACATGACATATTTATCTGGTTTGGCTTGTAAGCGCTGTTTAAACAACGATCTCGCCAGTATGCTAGATTCTAATTGTTTTTTAAAAATACTTGACATCCGCATTCGCATTCGCATCCGCGGATGTTAGTTGTTAGATATTCGCATCCGCATTCGCATCCGCGGATGTCTAAAATTCCACAGCCGCAACATCCCTAGTTTGTACATATTCAAACAAAGTGCTCGGAAAAAACTAACCACAAACATTTTAACTGCTTATGAACAATATTTTGGAATTCAAGCCAAGAATCCGGATAAACATTGGACTCCAAACAATTGCAAAGCTGTTTATCCCAATGTATCATCAGTGATAACAACTGCACCACATTCTTCTGTGTACCCAAAACGCGAACCACCAGCACTGAAAGAAGAAGAAATTAGTTCGCAAGGAACTGTATTTTCGGATTCAAATCCCAGCGTTTATTCAGGATCAGCGAGTCAAAAACCGAACCTGATGAATCAATTGGCCCTAAATGATCTGTGTCGTGATTTCAACTTATCAAAAGAAAAATCTGAATTACTCGCATCACGCTTACAAGAACGTGGGTATTTGGAATCAGAGACAAAAGTAACTTATTTCAGAAATCGTAGCAAACAATTCGAACAATATTTCTCAAAAACAGATGACTTTTGCTACTGCAACAATGTTAACGCGATGTTTGCCGCATTTGGAGAAAATCATAACTCGGACGAATGGCGTATATTTATTGATGGTAGCAAATATAGTGTGAAAGCTGTTTTACTTCATAAAGGTAATAAGGAACCTTCCATTCCCATTGGCCATTCCACAAAAGTGAAAGAAACATACGAGACAATGAAAGAGTTACTCAAACTGATTGACTACAGTTCTTGCAACTGGAAGATATGTTGTGACTTGAATGTCGTCGCTATACTCACTGGTCTACAGGGTGGCTATACGAAATACAGCTGTTTCTTGTGTCTCTGGGATAGCAGAGCAGATGAAAAGCATTTTACTCAACGCGAGTGGCCAAAGCGTAATGATCATGTCGTAGGAAAGAGCAACGTTCTTAAAACAGCACTAGTTGAAAAAAAACAGCGTTATTTTTCCAACATTGCACATAAAACTCGGGCTAATGAAAAATTTTGTCAAAGCTTTAGCAAAAAATCCGGAAAATAAAGCCTTGAAATATTTGAAGACGGTGTTTCCTAAACTGTCGACAGAAAAAATCAAAGCAGGTATATTTGTCGGGCCACAAATCAGAAAATTGTTTGATGATGCAAAATTTGAACGATGCTTGAACAAATCTGAAGTAAAAGCTTGGACTGCCTTTGAACACGTTGTTCACGGTTTTTTGGGGAACAACAGAAGCAAAAACGACCGTAAATTGATTGACAATTTGATGAAAAACTTCAATGACATTGGTGAGTGTGAAGTATTTTTAGGTTAAATGTAAGTTTGTGAAAATCCATGCAATTTTCTTTTTGTGACTTATACCTAAATATCTTTAACGGTTATACCTTGCATGGATTAAAATAATTATTTTAAAAAACAACTATTTAATAATTTACAAAATATTTTATTTATTACAGGTGCTCGAATGTCTCTGAAAATGCACCTGTCATTTCGACTTTTTTCCTCCGAATTTGGGAGCTGAGAGCGACAGCGAAAAGCGGTATGAAGGTTTCTGTGATCAAGCCATGATGGGCGACTATTTTTGGATGCAACTTTGAGAAGACAGAATGGAACACAAACGAAGAAGGTTGACAGAAAAATCATATTTTCGACCTGAAGTGTGAAAATGTTAAAAACCTCGAATTGCTTGTATTTACATTATGCGTCATAACTTCTACATTTCTTCTTCGTTCGAAGCAATATTTAGGTTAAATTGTATGTGACAGAATGGTTTTTAAATTGTTGTCATATATATCTGCATTAAAAATTTGTATCTTATGAAAAAAAGTCAATAAACCTCATTCATTTCCAAAAAAGCTCAAAAAATTAAAATTTTTTAAATTTGAACGGCAGCTGTGGAATTAATAATCTCTAGATTACCAATAATGACATATTGCTGTAAAGAAGAGGTATGCACCTTTCTAAAAATGTATATCATTGCTTCATGACATTAACTTCCTCGGAGATTTCGGTGAAAAATACTCGAATAAGACACGAAAATAGATTTTTTGCAAAAATCGCAAAAACGCTTCTTGAGAAAAATAAATGAGTGTCATTTTAGTTTTCAGCGACCCCAAATTAAGCTAGAAAGCACTTTCTTATCGAGGTACTTTTTCGTGTAAACTAGTGTTATTGCTTGGCATAACAATGATATCTCCGACACGGTCATTCCGACAGCTCACACGTACTCGTGTGATGCTTTCTACACTAGGCTAAACCTGACACAACAAAACTACTCCATGATGTGTTTTTAAGATTTTAATAAGATTTTGCCTCTTCACTGGAAGTGGTTTTTACGTGGCGGGTCTCAAACCCCGCGCACAACCCATTGCTGGGACGGGAGTGGTTTCGCAACCAAATACACGTTTATATAGCGAGCCGCTTGCTCCAAGATAGACACCCGTTTGCAGCTGCACCTACAGGTGAATAGACGCTACAGACTTCAGTGAGCCCTTAAACCGAATAAGTCAGAGTGGCCCCACCGAAGCTCCCACTCTTTCTGCAGTGACCGAAGGCTCCACTCGGATTGGTTACCGCATCTCGCACATGGGTTGCTCACGTTGCCCAGAGTGCCCGAACGAGGACGCAGGAGTCGGGATTGAGTATAGCCGTGCAACTTTAACTGCATAACCAGCACAACGACTATACCCCATTGCACATTCGCGCCCTGTCACCCACGTCACTGTTGACAGTTACAATTTCGAAAAAGTAGAGAATTTCGTTTACTTGGGAACCAGTCTTAACACCGATAATAATGTCAGCAAGTGCTACTTTGGACTGAGTAGACAATTCAGAAGTAAAGTCCTCACTCGACGTACCAAAACCACACTCTATAAGTCACACATCATGCCCGTGCTGGTATATGGCGCAGAGGCATGGACAATGACAACGTCCGATGATTCGGCTGTTCGAGTGTTCGAGAGAAAGATTTTACGGGCCTTTACGCGTTGGCGACGGCGAGTACTGCAGACGATGGAAGGATGAGCTGTATGAGCTTTACAACGACATGGACATACTGCGAATTAATGGACACCGATGCTCCAGCTCTGAAAATATTCAACTCGGAACCCGCTAGTGGAAGCACAGGAAGAAGGAGGCCCCACTGCGATGGAAATACCAGGTGGAGAAGGACTTGGCTTCACTTGGCATTTCCAACTGGCGTTAATTGGCACAGAAGAGAAACGACTGGCGTGCTTTGTTGAACTCGCCAAAATCGCTCAGGCGGTTACAGCGCCTAATAATAATAAGAAGAATAATAAGATTTCAACTTTAACCAATTTGTTCCTTCAATTTCAATAGATTACTTGTACTTGCTCAAAAATTTGTGTCAAAGAAATTCAACATACTACTGTGGCCATAATGATACATCACACGACCTCGTGTGAATTCATGTAGGTTTAACAACTACTGTAACGGTACTACTGTACTGCTTAAATATCTTGTATAAAATTATAATAAAATAAGGAAGCTTACCCGTACTACAAATTCAGAAGCGGTCACGAACCCAAACAAAGCTGAAATATTGAAAATTCTAACAACATATACAGTCGCAAATTTGAAATCGTGTTTGCGAAAGCTAGGAGAACCGACCAACGGCACTAAAAATGAGTACTCTGATGAGTTTCCATTTATTGAAAATGGAAGCGATATGGAGGATCAAGATTCTGAGGAAAGACACGCTGAATCCTTTAACGTCGAAACTCACGAGTTGGAGGCAGAATCAGTTGTTGAGGGCGTTAACATTACCGTCGTTGACGAAAATGTTGCTGTAGGAAGTGGATTACAAGCAAATAAAACCGGAAACGTAAAAGGAATAGGAATTCAAATGAGCGAGTTGGAACTGTTAAAAAAGGAGTTGGAGCTAGTTAAACGTGAGAATGAAATCCGAAAAAGGGAGAATGAAATGCTAAAACGAGATTACGAAAAGTTGAAATTTAACAAGCAACAGAAACAGAACGACAATGTCATTTCTGCCAGCGTTAATAGTAAAGATAGCTTTTTGCTTGCAAAAAAAATACTACCGGATTTTGCAGGCAACGGTGAATCTTTTCAGCATTGGGCAACACAATTAAAATGTGTAGAAAATGCTTATAATTTGAGTGAAAATACTATGAACGCGCTTATTTCAACCAAATTGAAAGGAAAATTTGGAAAATTTACTAGCAGAAATGAAGCTATTGTTTGAAGATCGTTCGAGTCGATTGGTATTAATGAAAAACTTTGAAACAAGAAAATGGCAGGCAAATGAATCCTTTCAGGAGTACTTTAATGAAAAGCTGATATTATCTAACGAAATTTCAGTAAATGATTGTGATGTACTTGAGCATATCATTGAGGGTATTCCCGACTACAATTTGCGTTCACAAGAAAAAAATTCAACGATGCAGAGACAAGGAAAGCTTCCTAGAAGGATTTCAGGATCAGTGTTGCCAGAACTTTTCGGGCCGACCGGCTAGATTGGCAAAAAAAGCGGCTAAAAACGGCTAAAATGTTTTAGTGAAAATTCACATGCTTTATTTAAATAAATCGCAAGAAACGAAAGACTAGTTAACACCATTAATTTATATCGAGTGTATATTCCTCATCATCAAATGAATCACTATTGTATATATCACCTGAATTCATTAATTTTAAGAGATCGTCATCTACAGTAAAATTATGGCAGCATTTTTCTTCACGTTTTAAACCGTATCTTATATATAAAATAGCGTTTAACGTTTTAACGCACATTGGATTTCTTTGCTTAGTTTTTATTATATTCATTGAACTAAATATTCGCTCTACTTCTGCATTACTTATAGGCAAAACAAGAAAACTAAAAACTAGGTTGCAAAGGTCAGCAAAAGGTTTTCTCCTAGGGCATTTCGAAATTGATAAACTTCGGCCCAAAATTTTACAGTTGAGTCTAAATTACTCCAGGTATGTAACGTTAACCGTTGCCATTGCATCTCTATGGATGTTATTTCGTCGGCATTATATTTGTGTTTTTGTTGCTGTAGTTGAACAAATACTTTTGGTTTAATTACTCTTAATGCATTTCCAACCGAAAAAAGTCAATTTTTTTTAGTGTGGCAATATTTGTAGGGAGGCGTTGGCGTAATTCCTTTATTAAAGTGATAATAAAATAGCGACCATTTTCTCGAATTATTTTCTCGGCTTCGTGGTCAAAAGCGTTTGTGCTTACTTTTGTTTTTAAATACTCTTCAAAACTGTGATAAAACTGAGGAAATGGAGCAAGGTATGGTTCCAACGGGGAGCATATAGGATCAAATGTGTCCGCGCTAATAACCACTAGGGAGCATAGATGCGAAAGTAAAACATTGAGTTCATTAAAAATCTTCATTGGGTCTGCATTATTGCTTTCGAACAACTTGTTTACTTTTTGCACCTGAAAATTAGGCAAATAGTAAAATCGGCTAAAAACGGCTAACTTTTTTTTACAAACCGGCTAACAAATCGGCTGCCGGCTAGATCGAATTTTCTCCGGCTAGTTGCTATCAAAACCGGCTAAATCTAGCCGGAAAACGGCTAAAATGGCAACGCTGTTCAGGATATCGAGCTAGCAAAGGAAAAAACGATTAAAGCACAAACCGATGCATTTCAGCCATCAGCTTTAATTGTAACTCTTTGGGTCACTTAGCAGCCGAATGCCGCAAACCTAAGCGCGAAAAAGGTGCATGCCATGTGTGTGCACAGATGGGACACTATGCTGCTGAATGTCCAAATAGAAAAGTTCATCACACTGGCGAGGGAGATAATTACAATGGCGATAAATATGGAAGATACATTAAATATAGTTTTAAGATAGATAGCTATAAGTTTCAATCTAAACTAGGTACTCTAATTGACACCGGTACACAGTGGTTCAGAGCTCACATCTAGCACGACGAAATTCGTATCTCCTGCGAACCATTGCGGATTATTCTCATCAACATAGTAATCTACTTTAGAAGGGACACATTTGAAGCTAAGTCTTGCTTCGATACCTCTACCGGTACCGGAGTTATAGCCTAAACTATGGTCACAAGAAATGGATAAGATTCACTTTCCGTATAATTATAAAAAATATGACAATATCAGTGTCAAATGAAAGGTAATCTGATGTATTTTAATCCATACATATTTTCGGGTTGCCACCCAGTCAAAATTTTAAAGTTATGTTACAATATCCGTTTGTTTTAATAATATTACCGAGAGAATAATTTCTATAAGGGCCAAATTCACAGTGCGTATTTAACTCAGGATCGGTAGTTAACTACAGATTTTTCTACTGAATTTGGCACTAAATGAATGTATTTTTATGTTTTGTTAACCATACATGAACTTCAAAGTATTAAGCACATTTTTACGTTTTTCCAACGCCCACATAAAAACAGTACAGTTTGTTTTTCATAATATTGTTTTTATTTCGTTGAAACTCTGTTCTCTTTTCAAAAAAGATATTTTAAATTTTTAAACATATAGCAACCTATTTTCTACATTTAAGTTTATAGTTTAGTATGAAAATAAGTGTCCCCAACTTCATATATTTTTATGGATTGAAGACTATAAAAACCACAGCCTTAAATTCTGTTGGGCTACTAAGAGAGTAGCTCAAGCAGAAAAATAAAAGTTCTTTATATTAATAAGGGATCATATTTAGAAGTAAAAACAGTTCAGGGGACTATTTTATAATACCATGAAATCTGAAGTTCATAAAAGAAATGTACATAGCTTAAGAAAAAACCTGGAGTCAGTAGCAA